GCCGACGGCGATGACACGGGAAGTTCGAAGTGGAGTAAAGGTGCTGGTGGGAACCGCGCCGCAGGCGGCGACGTTCCAGATCGTTCTCAGTCTTGTTCTCCAAGCGTCAACGTGCTGCTAAAGAAAAAAGGGGCGAAAGCTCGACTATTTGGCCCGCAGAGTAAAGGTGGAGACGACATCAGCGTGGAGGGTAGGACTGCCGTCACGGAGGGTATGCAAGCTGGCGGGTCTTCCTCCCATGCCGCTGGAAAGAAAGGTTCGGAGATTCCCCGTCCTCGAGGTCGCACCACGGCCTTCCGATCGTCAGTGTCAATGTTGAAGTTGTTGAAGTGCAGGCCGAGGCGGTGATACCCACCACCCATCCGGCGACAGATGCAAGTGCAAACAACGTCGGCGGCAATTTGAAGCTGTTGTGGTGCATGCCGACACTGTGCCCCCCACCACCCACACGTGGACCGGTGCAAGTGCCAACACTGGGTTGCTCCCAACCGGCGTTGTAGGCAGGCAACCCGTCGTCGGCGCCGTCGATCCTCTTGCAGACTCACCAGGTCCTCGCTACTATGGTCAGCGTAGTGGAGGGCACGGGCCCTAACAGCGTGAAAGAGGAGGACCCTGTGGCAAGAGCGCTGATGGAGGAGCATCTGGCTCTTGAGGCGCATTCACACCAGCCACCCTTCGCCTTTGCCAACGCCACTGTCCCAACACCTCGCGTGGGATTGCAAGTGCGCCCTGCACGGAGCACTTAGTTGCCGGTCCCACACCACCAGACCCGGTCTCGGCCGAGATCAATGCGCGTCAAGCGGCATCACCATCCGCTCATCCACCGACAACTGGCCCCAGCGCTGCACCGACCACGGGGCGACCCGTCGCCGGTCCTACACCTTCGGACCTGGTCTCGGCCATGCTGCTGGCCCAGATCAACGCGCGTCAAGTGGCAGCACCATTGCGCATCCGCCGACAACTGGCCCCAGCGCTGCGCCAACCACGCAGCAGCCCGCCGCCGAGGCCACGCCATCGGACCCGATCTCGGCCATGCTGCTGGCCGAGATCAACGCGCTTCAAGCAGCAGCACCATCCCCTCATCCGCCAACAACCGGTACCCGCGCTGCGCCGACCATCGTGAACTTGGGTGAGGCCGTACGCCAAGCAGTGGCAGACAAGACGCCGGTTCCTCCAGTGGTTCCAACGCCTTACCAGGTCGGCAAGGTGGCCCTTGATGGTGGCGTTGACGATTTTCAACAACCTTATCATCGGGGATGAGGATGTGCAATTGATACAAGCAACAATGGACGCAGACAGATATGCCGCCCAGCAGGCTGGTGAAGCTGCGTCGACCAACGTTGCTGTTGAGGATCGGCCGGCTAGTGTTCTATCGGCCCCCCAGACCAGGCAGATCGGGCCGTCGGACCGGTCGGTCGGCGTTACGGTTGCTGGCCAGGCTGGTCCGTCCTTACCGTCCCTCTATCATGCCTGCTTCATAGCGGTCGATCACGCCTTCCATACCGGCCCAATGGACCGATCGGCAGGCGTCACGGCTGCTGACCAGGCTGGTCAAATGGGACCGTCCTTCTGGCCGGTCGTTTCAGTGGCTAGCCGGGCCGGCAAGATAGGGCCTTCAGACCGGTCAGCATGTGTCACATTTGCTGTCCAGGCGGGTTAGGCCGGACCGTCAAACCATCCGGCCGGAGGACCATTGGCTGTACAGGCCGACAAGGACGGACAAGCCGACCGTACAATTCTGCCGTGTTCCTAGGTTGTTGATTTTTTTAACCCCTAAGACGCCGACATGTTCTTGTTTGTTTTGCTATTTTGCTAGCCGGCATTACAAACAGAGAATGCACAGTCAAAGATGCGAACAGAAGTCACAAGCAAAAGAAAAAACGTCGCTTAGTGGTTGTGAATGTGAAGATAACAACTACAACGAGAGCTAGATTACGAGGAAGGCATGATTCTGTGGGATATCATAGCGTTCCTTGCGTTCTCTGGCACTTGCATGTTCACAGGGCAAAACGGCAAGAGTTTCACTAGAGAAAGTTCATAACAATGATTGAAACAACATTGGCAAAGTTGACTACATCATGAGCAAGTCTGCCTAGCATGCAAGCAGGTCGACTTCTAGTGCAGCATGGTCGACCGCGTTCCAGCACTGCAAGGTCGACCGCACTCCAGCAGTGCAAAGTGACGACTTGCCAACGTTGCAAGTCGACGGCGTGCCAACGCTCCAGCAAGGCGGCTGTACAGCGTTGCACCAGCTTCGCAAGTGCTAGCAGTTGGTTGGCGTGATGTGCCCCGTCACGTGCACAGCGCAGACGCGAAGTCGACCACGTGTCTTTGACTGCGCCTGATCAACCACGTCGACCTCGTGATACCACCTCCAAGGTCGACTTCGCCAGAACCACCTGGGCGACTGTCGCGTGTCCCGCAGAACCTCGTTCGTCGCCCTCGTTACTTGGTCGACCGGGACAACTACGTGCCCGTCGACCGCCCAAGTCGACGACCACCACCAGCCGACCTCCCAAGTCGGCTACACTGCAGGTCGACCAACTCTAGGTCAACTTCCCAAAGCAGGCGCCCTCCCAAGTCGGCGCTCCTCCCAAGTCGACGAGCCCCCTCGTCGACCACGGTTGAAGTCGGCCACCGACACGCATTGTCGGTGGCTTCGCAGTGGCCTCAGTGCAGGCCGACCACGCGTGTCGACCTGCGTGCCTAAGTCGGCGTCGCCCACTGCAGCAGGTCGGCTGCACTTCCCGCAAACCCGACCACGAAGTTGGCTCCACCCAAGCAAGGACGGGGCCAACACATCACTCCCGTTGACACTCCCCTGCCACGTTCACGCTTGGGCCTCCACCCCTCACGGCAGTACCACTCGGAGAATAGTTCGTTGGCGTGCACACAACACACAACACGCCGTCACCGCATCAGCCGTGCAGAAGGGCACGGCACCTACTGCTGCACGCCGTCATAACCGTCGTCGATGTCAGCCAGGCGCGCTTGGCCGATTGCGACGGAGCATTGGTTGAAGGCCGGGAAGTGCAACACCTTCGTCAGGAAGTCGGCCGGCTCCTCGGTGGTCGGGATGTTTATTTACCATGAACTTCCCACACTTCACCATGTGCCATAGCCAGGCATATCGCCGTTCCATTTGCTAAAGGTTGCCCTGCAGCCCCAAGCCCTTGGCGACTGTGATGGCCGACTTGTTGTGCACCTAAAGGACCGTCGGCGTCCCAGCGTTCAGTAGCTGGAACTAAGCAGGAAGGAAGCGAAATCGGCGTCCTTCCTTGCCAACTTCCTTGTGTGTGTGCGTGCGTGTGTGCGTGCGTGCGTGCGTGCGTGCGTGCGTGTGTGTGTGTGTGTGTGTGTGTGTTTGTGTGTGTATGCGTGTGTGTGTGTGTGTGTGTGTGTGTGTGTGTGTGTGTGTGTGTGTGTAGCCATCCATCTGTACACCTCGGTTGTTACAAAACCGCGATGAGAGCTAATTATGCAATGGACCTTGAGGAGCAGCAAAGGGATAATTGGTATCTACCAAAACATTTAAAATGGTGCTAACAGACATGCTCACATCAAGACTGCTGGGAGGGAATGGCAGAACCAATAGCAGAAGCAGAATCAGCTGTTGGAGCAGACATTCTAGCAGCAACTACAGTGGCCGTACCAGCAGGTGCAATGGCAGAGGTCGCAGGCGCAGCTGAAAGTGCCGATCTATTGTTGCCGATAGCAGCATCAGTTGTAGTGGTGGCAGCAGCAAGAGGTGGAGAGGCAGTAACAGCTGCTTGCACCGAAACAGCTTCTTGCACCGAAATAGCTGCTTGCGCCGAAACAGCTGTTTGCGCCGAAAAAGCTGCTGTATAACTGGCTTTGAAAACATCAGTTTCAGTGGCAGTGGCAGCAGGTACAGAAGGTGCAGTGGCGGTAGCAGCTTTGGTCAGCGGAGCAATACGAGTAGTGGCATCAGTTGCAGCAACAGTAGACACAGGTGTGGCAATAGCTGGATGAGTTGCTGCACTGCTGGCAGCAGTGGGGGGCGAAGCGGGTGCAGGAAGAGGAGCAGGAGCAGAAGAATCAGCAGCAAGATTAGAAGGAGGAGCAGACGCAGGAACAGCAGTGGGAATGGACATGTTGGGAGCAGGAACAGCAGCAGCAGTAGCAACTGGAGCAGCAGCAGGAGCAGGTGTTGTGGTGGCACCAGCAAGTGGCACAGGGTCAATAGCAGCTGCTCGTGCTGCCAAAGAGGCATTGGCGGGAGCAGCAGCAGCGGGAGCAGGAGTTGTGGTGGCAGCAGCAGGTGGCACAGGCGCAGGTGGTCTAGCTGCCATAGGGGCATTGGCAAGAGCAGCTGCAGCTGTGCTGGAAGGAGGCGCAGGTGTGGTGGAGGGAGGCGGTCGGGTGGATGTGAGTGAAGTGAGGAACGCAGCAAGAAACCGGGGGGGAGGCGGCGTTGGGAGAGAGCGAGGTACGTGGAAGGAAGGGGGAGCGGCAGTGAGTAGCGGCTGGCCCCAGCCAAAGCCGTACGGCCGGGTGACAGGGAGAAGGGCGGATGGCAAGCCAGCAAGCAGCTGTGCAAGGGAGTGGAGTGCGGTGGTGGCAGGTGGCACAGTGTGGGGGAAAGGGAAGCGCGGGGCGTGAGCAGCAAGAGGGGCAGGCATGGGGTGGGGAGCGAGAGCAGCTCGGAGGGCTGCTGCCACTATGAGCTCCGGGGCCAGCAGCGGTGCTGCCACGCCCGCTGACCCCTCCCCGCCCGCTGACCCCTCCCCGCCCGCTGACCCCTGCCCACCTGCTGCCAACTGCCCTCCGCCTGCTGCTCCCCTGCCTGCCATGGCCGCCCCACTCGCCGCTGCTGCTGCCCCGGCCCGTGATGCCACCACCCCCTCCTGCTCATCCCTGTGATGAGAAGGAGCGGGGATGCCATCACGGGCGTGGGCCACCACACCGTCCTGCGCATCCCCGCTCCTCCTTCTCTTCCGCCCTCGCCCACCACGCATGCCCCCTCCTGCGCTCCTCCCTGCCACCGCGCCAACTATCCCCTCCTTCGACTCCCACTCCTCACTGCTCCTCACTCCACTTTCCTCTACGCTCATGCTCTCACTGCTCTCACTCCCCTCACCCCCCTCCCACACCACCACACGGGTCCTCTCAAGCCTCCGCCATGCGCGCCCCACCGCTGCTACCCAGTGGGCTGTGAGCTTCCCGGGGAAGGGGGTGGCTGCGGCAAGGGCAGCCCACGCAGAATGCAGCTGTGGGGTGGCCTGGGCGGCAGATGCCACCCGCACGCCGGCCAGCGATGCCAGCAGCGTGCTCACTTGAGGTGGCGGAATCATGGGGGCATGTGTAGGAGCAGCAGAAAAAGCATTCGCAGTGGCAGCACCAGCAGTAGCAGCAGTGGCGACAGCAGCAGTGGTGGCATTAGCAGGTGCAGCACTTTGCGCAGCGATGGCTTGAGGGGCAGAACGAGTGAAAGCATCAGCAGTGGCAGCAGTGTGCGGGCTCGTATGGGAATGGAGGGTGGGCAAGTGAAAATCATTGTCCGTGTCAAAACCACCACCATCAGTGTCCGAGTCATCAAAGCCACCCTCGCTGTCACCAGTAACGCCACCATTCCCACCATCGCCACCATCACTCTCCATCCCATTCCCAGCCGCCCTACGCCGCCCACCACCACCATCCTGCCGCCCCCCTTGTATCCACTCCTCCTCGCGCACGTCAGTCAGCCGGCGCCCACTCGCCTTGATCTGAGCGCGCCTCTCCCGCTGCTCCTCTGCCAGCGCCACCAGCGCTGCCACCTCCTCCTCCTTCACCTCACACCGCTCGTCCAGTATCCCCCTTATCCTCGCCCTCACTCCTCCCTGCCCCTCACTCTCCTCCCCCTCCCCTCCCCCCCTTTCTTCAAACTCGTCCTCCGCCCGACCTTCCTCCCCTCTCCTCCCACCCAGCCCGCCCCCTCGCCCTCTCGCCCCACCACCTGCTCTTCCCGCGCCACCAGGGGGGAAGAACCCCCAGCGCTGCATGAACTGCTGCACCCATGCCAGGCTGCAAGTGAATCTCCGACCCACCCCCACCAGCGGGGCCAGCCGCCTCGGATACTCCTGCACCGCCCTCACACACACCTGCTGCTGCCCCGCCCCCGGCCCCCCTCTGCTCCCCACCTCGCCCCCCCCACCACCCCCTGCAGCTCGCCTGTCCTCCTCCATCCTCGCTATAGCCTTCCTCACTGCGAGCGCAAGAGCCTCCTCCAGGCGGGTCTCAGCAGGGCGCAGTCTGACGGCGCCCGGCCTGCCAGCGCGGGAGAGCTGCACCAGCTGCCTCCAGTCGTCCTCCCTCAGCAGCACCGCTGGCAGCCACACGTTCGTTACCCGCACGCCGTACCTGCCATGCCACGCCATGCCACGCCATGCCACGCCACGCCATGCCAAAGGGGAGGGACCCACAGGGAGAAGAGGTGTGGAGCGTGAAGGGAGAGAGGGAGGCAAGAGAATGTGGAAGGCACCAGAAGCAGCAATAACAGCGAGAAAGGACAGAGGACTCTGGAGAGAAAGGGTTCGGTTGACCAATTACAACCATGATGCATGAAACAGGGAGGAAGGGAGGAGGTGGTGCGGGTGAGGGTGAAAGAGAATCTAGTCGTTCAGGCAAGGAGCAAAACGCACCTGGCGCCAACAGTGGCACAACACACCTGGCGCCAACAGTGGCACAACACACCTGGCGCCAACAGTGGCACAACACACCTGGCGCCAACAGTGGCACAACACACCTGGCGCCAACAGTGGCACAACACACCTGGCGCCAACAACGCGGGCGATGGCCTGGGAGGGGAGGGAGGGGAGGGCGCGGGCGAGGGCGCACATGGCGAGCTTCACAGCGGGCGGCACCACCGTGTGGCGCCACCGCCGCTTCCTGCCGTCCGCCCCCTCCCCTGTGCGCCCCTGCACCTGCCCCGGCGTGCCCCCTGTGGGCTCAGCAGCCCACTGCTCCGCCAGGCGCTGCAGGCGGTCCACCGGGCCCTCCTGCTGCTGCTCTCCCCCCGCTGCCCGCCCAGCACGCCCGGCAGCAGCAGCAGCAGCAGGAGTAGCAGTGGCAGTGGCAGTGGCAGAGGCAGCAGCAACAGCAGTGGCAGCAGCAACAGCAATGGCAGCAGGGCGGTCAGAGTGCAGTGAATGGCGCCCCTCTTCCCTCTCCTCGTCTGTCCCTCCACCATCACTGCTCTGCCCTTCCGTGGTGTTTCCATCAGTCATGTTACCATCAGTGGTGCTACCATCAATCGACATCTCTCCCCCATCTCCTCTCTCCTCACCTTTCTTCTTCCCACCCCCATGCTCCACCTGCTTGCCCCAGCTGCTCCCAAGCCCGTGCCGCAGCAGGGCCTTGCGAGCCCAGTGGCGGCTATACCGGAACCCCTCGCCCACGCCCATGTGCGGCCCCACCTGTCTCGCATACTCCAACACATCATCCCACCGCAGGGCCTCTTGCCCGTACCATGCCTCCATGGCCCGCACCCACGCTGCCACGGCCGCCTGCACCTGGGGGTGTGCGCCACTGCGGTGGCGGATGAGGGTGGCGCCGTGGGCGGGCAGGGCGGATGAGGGTGGCGCCGTGGGCGGGCCGTGGCTCTTCCTCAGAATGCGCCGCACCGCCGCCACATCCAGCGCTGCCGCTCCCGCCGCCTCCACGCCACCCGCCGCAACTCCCCCCTCTGCCAAGCTCGCTGCCCTGCCAGCAGCAGCGGCGGTGGCACAGGTGGTGGTGGGGGATGCTTGGGGATGGCGGGCGGGGGCAGCGAAGGCGCAGTGCACGAGGCGGAGGATGTCTTTGGCCCGCATGTCGGGGCGGGCGGCCCTCAGCATGCAGATCACTCGCTTCAGCCGCAGACTGATTGCCGCCCGGTGCTTGCCGTTCCCACCCAGCGCCCGCTTCTCCCTCGCTGCAGCACGCTGCCTGTCCGCATGGCGCCTACCAGCATTACCAGCATGGGCGTCGCCACCACTGGCGTCATGGCTGGGGGGGTCCAGGCGGAGCTCCCCTGCTGCTGCCACTGCCGCCTCCACATCAACCTGCATCCCTCGCACTCTCGCTGCTGCTGCTGCTGCTGCACCCCTCACTGCTGCCCCTGCTGGCGGCGCCGCCCTTCTGACTCCCTCATCTGCCACTGTGCCTGCTGCAGCATCCGAGTCAGTCCCACCTGCTGCCTGCATGCCTGCACCCGCCTGCCCCCCTGCCACGCCAGCCTCTGCCAGTGCCAGCGCCAGCAGCTCTCGGCTGGGCTGCACCGCCTTCCTCCTCGCGCGCTCCCTTGCTGCGCCTCTTGCTGTGCCTGCCAGCAAATCTGCTCCGCCCTGCCAGCCATCTGCCTCTGCTGCCTCTGCCTGTGACACCCAGCCCCCATCGCCCTCCTCGCCTGTCCCCCCACCTGCCTGCTCCCTGCCCTGCTGCGCCCGCTCCCCTGACCCGCCCTGGCCCCTCCGCCGCCCCAGCTGCCCCTCGGCCTCCTCGTCCCTTTCCGCCCCTTCGCCCCTCTCACCCCTCTCCCCACCTTCGCCCCTGCCCTCTCTCTCCCCGCTCTCACCCCCTTCCAGGTCGATTACCTCTCTGCCGGCCGTCACTGACGTGTCCCGCCTCACCACCCTCATCCCTCCCCTACACGCACCCCTCCCTCTCTCCCTTCCACCCGCCCTTCCCACTACTCCCCGCCCTCCCCGCCCTCCCCTCCCTCCCCTCCCTCCCCTTCGTCCCCTCCCACCCTCACCCCTTCCATCCTCTTCACCCCCATCCCCCTCATCCCCCTCGCCCTCCCCATCCTCCGCATCGGCACCATGCGTGCGCGCCACCAGGATCTGAGCGCCAAAGATCTCATCTGCCACCTGCACCAGCGATGGCTCCGCACTGCCCGCTGCACCAGCAGCAGCGGCAGCAGCGGCAGCGGCAGCAGCAGCGGTGGGGCTGTGGTTGAAGTACGCCTCTCTCTCCTCCTCCAGGTCCCGCTTTGTGAACCCCCACCGCTCCTGGAAGCGCCACGCCCACCCGATGCTGTACCTGCGGAGGGGAAGAGTACGAGAGGATAGACTCACTGGGAGGTCTTGAGTTGACATGAGAGACGTGGCAGGAAGGGGAGAGGCGAGGAAGGGGAGAGGCGAGGAAGGAGAGAGGCGAGGAAGGAGAGAGGCGAGGAAGGGGAGAGGCGAGGAAGGAGAGAGGCGAGGAAGGGGAGAGGCGAGGAAGGGGAGAGGCGAGGAAGGGGAGAGGCGAGGAAGGAGAGAGGCGAGGAAGGGGAGAGGCGAGGAAGGAGAGAGGCGAGGAAGGGGAGAGGCGAGGAAGGAGAGAGGCGAGGAAGGAGAGAGGCGAGGAAGGAGAGAGGCGAGGAAGGAGAGAGGCGAGGAAGGAGAGAGGCGAGGAAGGAGAGAGGCGAGGAAGGGGAGAGGCGAGGAAGGAGAGAGGCGAGGAAGGGGAGAGGCGAGGAAGGAGAGAGGCGAGGAAGGAGAGAGGCGAGGAAGGAGAGAGGCGAGGAAGGGGAGAGGCGAGGAAGGAGAGAGGCGAGGAAGGGGAGAGGCGAGGAAGGGGAGAGGCGAGGAAGGAGAGAGGCGAGGAAGGGGAGAGGCGAGGAAGGAGAGAGGCGAGGAAGGGGAGAGGCGAGGAAGGAGAGAGGCGAGGAAGGGGAGAGGCGAGGAAGGGGAGAGGCGAGGAAGGAGAGAGGCGAGGAAGGGGAGAGGCGAGGAAGGGGAGAGGCGAGGAAGGAGAGAGGCGAGGAAGGGGAGAGGCGAGGAAGGGGAGAGGCGAGGAAGGAGAGAGGCGAGGAAGGGGAGAGGCGAGGAAGGGGAGAGGCGAGGAAGGGGAGAGGCGAGGAAGGAGAGAGGCGAGGAAGGGGAGAGGCGAGGAAGGAGAGAGGCGAGGAAGGAGAGAGGCGAGGAAGGAGAGAGGCGAGGAAGGGGAGAGGCGAGGAAGGAGAGAGGCGAGGAAGGGGAGAGGCGAGGAAGGGGAGAGGCGAGGAAGGAGAGAGGCGAGGAAGGGGAGAGGCGAGGAAGGGGAGAGGCGAGGAAGGAGAGAGGCGAGGAAGGGGAGAGGCGAGGAAGGGGAGAGGCGCGGGTCCGAGGGTGCAGGGGAAGCAGCAAGCAAGCAACACATGGCACGGAGCCCCGCCTCCCCTCCCATCAAACCCTGGCAGCACCTGAAGGAGGGCGAGACCCCAAACGAGGGGCCCAGCTGGCGGCCCTTGGCGCAGATGGCGTGCAGCTGCACCTTGGTGGCGCCGGGGCCGCCCTTCATGTCCCTCACCCACGCCACCAGCGCCTCCTCCAGCGCCATGTTCTCCGGCGCGCGCACGCTCTTGCTGCTGCGCTGCGCCAGCGCAGTGCTCCAGCGGGCCGCGTTGTCGAGGATGCCGCGCACGTGCGAGGGGATGAGGCGAATGTGCGGGTACTTGGCGCGGCACACGTGCATGATGCCCGGCACCGTGATGCCGGGGCGCAGGCGCCGCAGCTCACAGATTTCGCGCTTCACTCTCACGTCCACGGGCTTGCGCCGCCCGCTCCTGCTCCCTCCCCCGTCGCGCCGCCTGCTGCTGCCACCGCCTGTCCCTTCCTGCTCGCCTGCGCTGTCGCCTGCTGCTGCTGCTGCTGCTGCCGCGGGCACATGAGGTCCATCCGTTGTGTGAGGAGCAGCCGCTGCGCTCCGTGGTGCTGCAGCAGGCGGGTGGTGAGGCAGCATGCCATCCATGCCTGCCTCTGCTGCACCGCCTGCTGCTGCCCCCTCGTCAACCGCACCCGTGGAAGCAGCGCCAACAACAGCCGCCCTGCCAGCACCAACTCCTGCTCCTCCAGCAGCGGCGGCGGTAGTGGTGGCAGAGGCTTGTCTGAGGGCCTCACGAGCAGCTGCCAGGCCAGCAGCATAGCCCAGCTCATAGTCCTCCTCCCCCTCCCCCGCCTCTCCCCCCCACTCCTCCCCTCCCTCTCCTTCCCATTCCTCCTCTGCCGCTCCTCCACCCTCCCCCTCGTGCCACTCCCCCCATGCCCCACCCCCCCCACCGTCCGCACCCACACCCACGTCGGTGCGCCCAAGCTCCTCCCCACCGCCACCCACTCCACCGCCACCCACTCCACCGCCACCCACTCCACCGCCACCCACTCCACCGCCACCCACTCCACCGTCACCCACTCCACCGCCACCCACTCCACCGCCAAGCTGCCACTCCGCCCGCCAACCCTCCTCCCAACTGCCCGCTGCAACACCAAACTGCCCCTCGCCGCCCCCTCCCCCCTGCTGCCGTTGCTGCTCATACTGGCGCTGCTGCTGCTGCTGCTGCTGTGGCAGGCGGTGCAATCTCCCATCTTCTGAGCCCACCATCTGCTGCCTTGCGTGTGCCTCCTCGCCCCTCCGATCACACCGATGCCCTTCCTCGTCGCCCTCCAACCCCCACGCCATCTCCACTCTCCTTCCCCTCGCTGCACCTTCGTACTCCTCCCTATCCACACGCCTCTGCTGGTCCCCGACCGCTCCCAATGCCTCTCCACCACTCACCCGCCCATCGAGGTACCCCATTCCCCCACCCACGTCCAACCCCCTGCCAGCGTTCCCTCCTCTCTTCCGCGCATCCCCACGCGCATGCGCGCCCGCCCCCATCCATTCCTGCCCGCGCGCCACACTTGCGCCCCTCCCTCCACGCGCCACCATCCCCCGCCCGCGACTGCCTTCCGCTTGCCCTGTACCGACCCCCATTCTCCCCCTTCCCGCGCCCGCGCCCTCGATTGAGCGCGCCCTACTCCCTCCTCCGCCGCCATCCGAGCCCCTCCCCCTGCCTCCTCTGCGGCGGGATACGCGCCCCTCCGCGCCTCCCCCTGTCGATCCCTCCGCTGCATTCGCTGCTTCCCCTCCTCCGCCCACCGCTCCCACTCCTCCGCCCGTCCCTCCGCCCTCCCACGCTGACACTGCCGCCCCGCGCACGTTTGCGCCAACCTCCGCGGCCTCCTCCACGCCCCATCCCGTTCCCCCAGGCGCGAGTCCTCCTGCTCCCACGTAGCCACCCTCCGCGCCTCCCCCAATCGCCCACCAAGCCCCTGCAGTCCCCTCCGCCACCCCGCCCACCGCCTCCCCCCTCGCACTTCCTCTCCTCCCTCTTGCACCTCCCCCGCTTTTCCCCCTCCGTGCCCCCTTTCCCCTTCGCCCCCTCCCTCCTCCGCCTGGCTCCATCCAGGCAGCGCGCGAGGAGCGCCGCGAACTGACGATGGCGTTCAGCCACTGGCTGGGCTACGAAGACATCGGAAAAACAGGGGGGTCGGAGGGGTAGGTTTGTTTTCATGTGCTTGAAAGCTGCTTTCAGGAGAGTTACGGCAAAGCTACGTTTCTGTTGCTTTCCCGGTTGGCGCCTCGTCAAACTTTCCGAGCGGAACACTGTGGAGGCTGCGTGGCAGCACCTGGTTGGTTTTCGATTCATACCTATGGAAATCCTGCTAATTGCGAAGTTGTACGTTTTCGTACACATCGGCTGTTACTCTACTCCCGTTTCGCCCGTTCACCTTCCAAAAATGCACTTCGCTCGTTTAGCACCTTGCAGGTTTGGCAACCCGATACTGAAGGATTCTAAGGTTCGAGAAAGACGATTGAAAATAGCAATACAGCATGATACTTATATGTATGTCATGTCAAGTAGTTGAGATTTCAGCACCGCCTTGGCAATGCATGTAACAATGCAATAGTTTATCATGTGATGAATTGACTCTCTAAAGAATACGGAATTGATAGTATCATTATATAGGCCGATGTATTGGCTCACCGTATGATCGCAATCGAATACTCAAACATGATATCCGCTAATGGGTTGAGAATTATTTAATCGTATGCATAACGGTTGAGAAGCTTCAACGTGGGTCGTGTGAAAGACGTTATGGTGTGCTCCGCCCGACTGACTGACCTCAGCAAGATGAATGTTCTGTACGTAGTTGCGTGACGACCTGTACCCAGATTCAACGAGCAGGCCTCGGTGTCCTCCCCACGCTCCTCAAGCATCCTTACAAACGCCAATGGAACTTTGTTATTAACACCGTTCTCCCCGTGGGTCATCACGTGAAATAGCACTCGAATTTGTGCATAGACCACAGCCACTGCAGGTGTTGATTCGTCGGCAGCGAGCGACTGCAGTGAAACGCATGAGATATAAGCTGCGCCATGGAACTTCGGGGTCGCACGTGCGTAGTGGCTCTAGTACCCATCTTTCCCTGGTAGAGCCACGGCGGAATGGACCTGCAGTGTATACAACATGGACATGATATGGCATTGCTTGAGGGATAAGTTATAGCTGGCTTACATGTCTGACAATGGGCCATTTCACGATCATGACATGCAGAACCCATGCTTGCATAAATGGTGTTTGTGTGACAACCTGCAGCACCAAGTGCAGAGGCGAATAGGTCCATGCACGTGCCGTGGTGGTCAACGTAGCTCTTCCACAGGTTGTTACACGCCTATTATCAAGAATGTGTGGCATTGAAACAGGTGTTGACGTCGTTGTCAGAACAACATGGCAAACCGCATCCGCATGCCGAAAATAGGGTGAGGGGAGACATATTTTATTCAAAGGGTACTTCATATGCTTACTGTTGCTTCTCGGAGGTGGGTGTGTGTGGGCTAACATGCGTGTGTGTGTTGTCAGAATGAGAAGTGTGTGAACTATGAAAAGTTGGAGTACAAGTAGCAAACCCTAGTTTTGTGTACCCCCTAAAGGCTAACCCACTATAGCCTACACAACAACAACACATATAGTGTTTGACACACCCCCATAGGCAAAGTGGGGGAGAGCAAGGGGTCACAAGACCAGTCAGGAAAGGCAAGCAAGCTCAGGGTGGATCACAACGTCACCACACATTCCGAGCACAAGCAAAGGGCCACATGGCCAGTTCACATGCAGAAGTAGATATGTAGTACAAACAGCAAGGGTGATCTCAGCCCAGCAGAACAAACAGGCAGGAGTATATATAGAGAACACAGTACAGGAAAAGCCTACAACAAGTGAGGA